GGCCTCCAATGCTGCTTTCATTTAATTTTCATCAAAAAATATGAAAGATATTTCAATTTGAGGTAAGGCCGTGGCTTTCCAATTCATAGGGTAAGTTTTAATTTAAGTTATTATTATTAAGGCTTTGGCTGATTCAACTATGGAATTTGAAAACTAATCATGCTTATTGAAGTATTCAAACTGGGCATCCAAAGGGGGAGGGGAAAAAAAATGAGCATGTATCTGTAAAAATCCAATGTTGTGCTCTTGTTTCAGAATGATGGTTCTAGGAAGTTCGCTTATTTATGTGATATAAGTTAAAACCAAAGACATGCAAACTCAGGTACTTGGCAATGAAACATGCTTATTTCTTGTGTTTTCTCATATATAGCCTTCCCACCCGACAACACAGATAAGTCAGCATACATAGAGAATGATGGAAAGGTAAGGAAAAATTGAAAGATTGCCAAAGCAGCAGAATTCACAAAAAAAAAAATTGGTGTTTTGAGGGATGCCTTTAGTTTCCAATGGTGAGGAACTTGTCAACCAAAATGAAACAATTATATTCAATCAAACTTTTTTACAAGTACTTGGAGTGCATCTTACAAACCCAGATTTCAACCTAAATACTAATTACATCATACAACCCAAAATTCACACCAACTCTATTCAATGAGACATTTTTACAAACACTTGCAATACATCTTACAACTCATATTTCAAAACAAATATTTGTTATTATTTGTTACCAAAATCAAAGTAAAAATAAATCCGAAAAAAAAAACCAAAAAACACATAATCATCATCGCCCTCTGCTTCATCCTCCAAACCGCCCTCTTCATCGCCATCAATCTCACTATTTTATGCCCCAAAACCCCCAAATTATGGCTGAGCTCTGCCACAATCAACAATCTCACTACCACTTTAGCCTCATTCGAAATCTGATTTGCCACCATGTACGCTGTGAAGAACTCAAATCACGGCCCCTTCAAGTTCTATGACACCTATATTACTTTCTCGTATAAGGGAAAACGAATTAGAGAGAGTCGAATCCGTGAGTTGAGAGCTAATGCTTTGTCGATGAAAGATGTGAGCTTGAAGTTGAATGCACTTCTTCTTGTTCTTCATCTGAGTCTATTTTGAATTTGGTTTTGGATATTGGTTCAGGTCAGTGAGTTCACAAACGTTTGGAGGAAGAAGGGCCAAAAAAAAAAAAAAAACCCTCCAAAACGACGTCGTTTTGGAGCATGGCAGGAAGCACTGCAGGAAACAACAGCAGAGGATCCGGACTCTTGCTTTCTAGCCACAACTTTATAATTACTTCAAGATATTTTTCAAACAAATAGTTTAAAGACTTTTCTAATGATTAAGACTTTCTAATTTTTTTAATCAAATTAATTATTTTATTTTTTAATTAAAATAATAAAAAATTTGTTAAATTTTAACACCATTAAATTAAATATCAAGTTACTTATTTTATTTTTGATAGTTTTAGATCAATAAATATAGCTAATAGACTAATAGTTTCGGTTAGACATATATTTATAAAAAAATATTATTTATGATATTTTGGAGGTAGTCATAGATAATTGAGAAAATTGGTGAAAAAACAATTCTAGCAACTGTCTAAGCAACAATGATGCATCCCTCTAAACAACAAGGTTAAAACATCACATCACATGAGTCCTACATACACATTAGACCTCATAAATTAGAACTCAAAAATATTTTTGTTGTCCAAGACATTAGGTCCAATGATTTTTTTTTTTTTCCAGCAATGATTCAGAGCACTAATTTTGATGTTCTAATAGAGCACTAATGACATGGCAAGGAGAGGAAGAAAAACAAATCAAGACCAAAACATCACATCACAGTATGTAGGACCCATTATCAGCTAATTAGAGCTGGCTTTAGAGCTCAAGGATTAGACCTCCAAAGCATTTTTCTTTTTTTTGTTGGTGAGAAATTCACATTTTGTGAAATAGTTTGGTGAGAAATCTTAGACGATATTTTGTTTTCAATTTTATCCCTTGACTTTTTTTTATCTGTTTGACTTTTCGTTGATTATCTACTCAAAATCCTTTCATAATAAAACTTTAATGCATTAATGATAAGTATAAAAAAAAATTATGTAAAGTCTAACACATATCACTATTATCAAAATATACTTAATGAGTAATTTAATATTTTAAATTTAAAAATAACATAATTTTTTTATCTAGATGTCGGTTTTTAATAAAATTAATATTTTTAGAATCTTCTCATCAAGATCTATCAAACAAAATCCATGTTAACTATGGAATTCTTAAAAAATAAAAAAAAATACCGTCAAAATTTACATAAATAATAACATATTACTATAATTTATAGTAACATGTTATTCAAGTTCACAATAACATTTTACTATTATCAAAAATAGAGAACATGCTAGATGAACCAACCAAAAATACACATACACAATATTTTTAAATTTGTATAAAATAAAATAAAAGTATTTCTCGTCAAAAGAGTTCTGTGAGACATATATATGCATGACAATATTATCTAAGAAAAAAAAATTTACTCTGTTCTTATTAAATTATGCACTTCCTCCTTAGAGAGTTTACGAAGCAAAATAAATTAAATTGTAATTTTCAAAAAATAAGGATGAGTGGAGAAATTTTAACTAAATTTTCCCAAAAAAATATCTTGAAGTAATCGCAAAGTTACGGTAGCTAGATTGCAAGTAGCAAGACAGCTCCGCCCATCATAAATAGATATGAGAAAATTGTAAATCAATAATATTTTCACAAAATATTTATAAATTTTAAAAAAAAAAAAGTTAATAAAATTTATTATTGATTTGAATTTTTCTTTAGAAACATAAATTGTAATTTCCCCGATAGATATTTGGTCAACAACTATTTGTTTAAAGAATATTTTAAAAGTAAATAGTTCAAATCAGTAATATCTATTTTTTAAAATAAATATAATTTAAACATATAATTATTGATACATGATAATTATAATTTTTTGAATGAATATTGTACTTTAACAAATTTTAAAAAATAAATAGTTCGAATCATTAAAATCGAAACCAAAATAGGTCCATCAAATCCAAACGTTATGATTCTATATTTTTCATAACACTGAGAGAAAGAAAGAAATCTCAATCATATGTCTCTGTCACAAATAGTCTCTTACTTTCTACCAATACAATATATTACAATTTTTTTTTTCTCACTTCTAAATGCGTATGTAAAAAAAAAAATTAAAAACAAAAACATAATCTCAACGACAGGTTTATATAAGAACTATTTGGCGTATGTTATTGTAAGTTAAATGTTAATAATTAAAAAGTAAAAGTCAAAAGTATCTCTCCCTTAATTTTTAGATAGTCAATTTTTTTTTTTAACTTTTTAAAGTTACTTGTACCTAATAAGTTATGAATAAAATTTGTATCAAATAGCCTGATAAAAACTATCAAATTAAAACAAATTACAATCAGCTTCTTTAAACCGCAACGAACCCCCAGTGATACAGAGCCCAAGGTTGGCGTTTCCTTTCACATAGGTTGGACCGTACTTTCAAGAACTCAACTGGGTCTAGCCCATCAGGCCTTTAAACTTCCGGTTCGGACCACTAGACCCACCCTAACAACTCGTTTGAATTTGATGGTTTAGAGAAAATAATAATAATGATGATGGAGTCTTTCCTTTCAAATCACCTTTTTGTCGAGTCTTTCCTAAATCATTTTTCTCTAGAGTAATTTTTTTATAGAATTAAAAAATTTTAAAATAATTATCAATATTATTGTACCCTCAATTTATTACTATTGTACTCTCATTCTTTGTAAAATTAAATTTTAATCATACAAAAAAACTTTATCAAAAATCACCTTAGAAAATCCGAACTCTTCTTTTGTACAATCTTCCCAATTTATCTATGAGCTTGTTTGGGAAGAAAAAGCCCTAAGCTTTTTGACTAAAATAGTCATAAAAAAACAAAATAAACGTTTTAGTCCCATAAGACAAAACATCATATTTAATCCATAATTATTATATTTTTTCTATCACAAAAGTCAAAAAAACCAAAAAACACATCTCAAACGAGATTTTTTAGTCCTAAGCTAAAATAGCCAAAAAAACCAATCCACATCCCAAACAAACCCTATGTAACCCACAATCAGAAATTCTAAATATTCCGAAAAAATAATATATTCAACATTTTATTAAAAATATAGAATAAAATTCAATGTTTATATTTTGAATCACAATCTATTTTTTCTAAGTAAAATCTGATTTTTTTTTTTAAATATTTAGATTATTTAACCCACCACACGTTCAGTATACTATGAAACAATTCATTCATAAAAATTAATATGTAGTGACATTTTCTAAATTAAAAATTATTATTATAAATTAAAATGAAAAATGTGGTAGTGCTATTTTCTAAATTTGAAATTATTATTATAACTTAAAATGAAAAATTATATATATAGAGAAAAAAATTATATGTACACATGTCTAGAGCCTAGTGTTGTTGTCTGGACTCACGATACTTATCACAAATCTCATTTTAATTATTCAAATAAATTCATTTTGTAAAACCCTTCTTTTATATATTATTTATACAAAAAATAAGTTAATCTAATAATCGTAATATGTTTAATTTATTGCATTTGTTGCAAAAAAAATAAATTATTTGTATTTAAAAACTCATTTATTATATTTTCTTAAAAATAAATGTAATAAATTAAATTATTTATAATTATTAAATCAACTTATCTTTTTTTCTATTGATCATATAATCTAATAATATTTTCTATTAATCATATAATCTAATAATATTAAAAAATGAACCGTGTTCAGATAGTTCTACGGGCCCTGCACAATGCGTGTTACCAATTAGCATACAGTCTTTTCAACTTCACTCAAACCACTTCTCATAAGTCAATTTGTCTCGTGCAATTCAAAGAAAATTCGCTTCTAATCCCAAAACCCATCTCGCTTTCATCTTTCCATCTCTATAAAACCCACCACCACAACACGCTTCACACACCCACAAAAACCCATCATAACATCCATATACATCATCAAATCACTATACCAAAAAACCCACCAAAATTCCTCAAAAATGGGCTCTTGTTTTCGGCAAGATCGACGTCAAAACCCCAAAATTTGAACTCATTCGATCCACAGACAAGTACGAAATCCGCAAATACTCTCCCTCAGTCATAGCCGAGGTCACATACAATCCAACCCAATTCAAAGGCAAGAAAGATGGCAGTTTCATGATACTTGCCAACTATATTGGAGCTCTGGGGAATCCTCAGAACTCCAAGCCGGAGAATATCGCAATGACAGCACCGGTGATAACCCAATCGCCATCACCGGAAAAGATTGCGATGACTGCTCCGGTGGTGATGAAGGGTGGTGGAGGAGAGGGAGAGAGGAAGTTGGTGACTGTGCAATTTATATTGCCATCGAAGTACAAGAAGGCAGAGGAGGCGCCGAGGCCCGTGGATGAGAGGGTGGTGATTAGGGAGGAGGGGGAGAGGAAGTATGGGGTGGTGAAGTTTGGTGGGGCGGCAACGGAGGAGGTGGTGGTAAGGAAGGTGGAGGAGCTGAGGAAGGGGTTGGAGAGAGATGGTTATAGGATGGTTGGGGAGTTCTTACAGGCAGGGCATAATCCACCTTGGACTTTGCCTGTTTTTAGGACTAACGAGGTCACGTTACCTATTGAGTTAGGGAAAGTCTATAGTACATTTTGTTTAAAAAATGTATAGTACATAGAAAATCAATGGTTCAGATTGAGCCACATCATTAAAAGTGACCTGGTAAGCATGTCACTTTTTATAGTTATGAGCCAAAATCATATTTGTTCATAACTAGAATCAAATTAATCATAACTTAGTTATGAGCTCTCATCACATATCTCATAACCACATCTCATAATCAGAACCATTTTGTTGACAACCAATATCATATATTTCATAACTACAATCACATATCTCATAACTACATCTCATAACCAATATCCTTTAGCTCATAATCACACCACTTTGATCATAACCAATATCACATATCTCATAACATTAATCACATATCTCATAACTACTACCCATATAACTCATAACCACATCTTATAACCAATCCCCCCTTTGACTCATAACCAACATTACATATCTCATAATCAACACCCTTTTGCTCATAACCACATCACTTTGATCATAACCAATATCACATATCTTATAACTAATAATCACATATCTCATAACCAAACACTCTTTTGACTCATAACTACACCACTTTGCTCATAACCAAAATCACATAACTCATAAACAACAATCATATATCTCATAACCATTACCCACATATCTCATAACCAACACTCTTTGGCTCATAACTAACATCACATATATCATAACCACTAATCACATATCTCATAACACCCTTTGGCTCATAGTCACACCACTTTGATCATAATTAACATCACATATCTCATAACCACATCTCATAACCAGCACCATTTTGTTGATAACCAATATCATATATTTCATAACTACAATCACATATCTCATAACTACATCTCATAACCAATATCCTTTAGCTCATAATCACACCACTTTGATCATAACCAATATCACATATCTCATAACATTAATCACATATCTCATAACTACTACCCATATAACTCATAACCACATCTTATAACCAATCCCCCCTTTGACTCATAACCAACATTACATATCTCATAATCAACACCCTTTTGCTCATAACCACATCACTTTGATCATAACCAATATCACATATCTCATAACATTAATCACATATCTCATAACTACTACCCATATAACTCATAACCACATCTTATAACCAATCCCCCCTTTGACTCATAACCAACATTACATATCTCATAATCAACACCCTTTTGCTCATAACCACATCACTTTGATCATAACCAATATCACATATCTCATAACATTAATCACATATCTCATAACTACTACCCATATAACTCATAACCACATCTTATAACCAATCCCCCCTTTGACTCATAACCAACATTACATATCTCATAATCTGAGCTGGCTGCTGACCCTGAATCTGCCTCAAACCAGATGCACCAGGTGTGCCACGCAACTGCGGGCAATACCTCTTCATATGCCCTGGCTGACCACACTGATAACACGAGAGTGGCTGGCCTCTACCCTGACTCTGGCTCTGACATCGAGCCGAAGATGATGCTGCTCTCTGCACTCCTCCCCTCTGAGGACAAACTGGAGACTTGTGGCCCAACTGGCCATACTTGAAACAGGTAATGTCCCCCTGACTGCCTTTCCCCGAACTAGCACTCGGCACAGGAAAAGTCGATCTAGAAAAGCTATCCTGAGACTGCTGAGGATTAAAACCCTTCTGTCTCCTACCATCACTCTGACCATCCTGACTCCTCTTGGAGCCCTTCTGTCCTTCCTCCTCCTCCTGCATCATGATTTCCATGTGGGCTGCAGCATCAACCAAACGCCCATAATCCCGAATCATAGTTCCCCCAACTCACAGCTTGAGGCCACGCCTCAACTTCTCCTCAAACTCGATACAACGTCGTTCCTCAGACGCCACCAACTCAGGTGCAAACCTGGACAAGCTAGTAAATGTAGCCTCAAACTCGGCCAATGAAGAACTCGACTGCTTAAGCTGGCAGAACTGGTCTCTCAGCTTCTCCCTAACTGCTGGAGATAAGAACCTCTCCTAGAAAGCATTCACAAAAGCCTCCCATGTACCTCCTATACGACCCTTAGTGAACTTCCACCACTGACCCGCATCCCCCTTCAGCTGGAAAGATGCCAAGGTCACTTTCAACCCCTCGTCTTCGATGCCAAGCATCTCAAACGTCTTCGTTGTCTGTTCGAGCCATTCATCTGCCTTAAGCGGCTCTTTAGGATCACCCACAAATTCATCCGGGTTAGACCGGAAGAACTCCCTCTTCAGAAAGGAAGGTCCTGCATCCGCAACAACAGCCCGCGCTTGATTCTCAGCTCTGAGAATGCCTACTGACTCCCTGAACGCCCCTCCTATCTCTCGGGCTAGAGCGCCCATAGCCTGCTGGCCTACTGGCTCGGCCACATTGGCTTGGCCAACTCCCTCCTGTACAGCCGGAACCTCCTCTGGCACAGGCACCTCCTGCCTACCCGGCCTACCACGCCTACCGCGCCCTCGTCCTCGTCCTGACATCCTAATAAAGGAAACAAAGACGTTAGCACATTAATAAATGTGCCGAAGCTAAACACTTGCGTCCTAATGCATTGGACAACAATAATTCATTTCACGTAAGCACATAATCACATAAGCACCTACGAATTTCATTCCTGGATGATAATAGTCCTGAAGCGTTACTATAGTTCCGGTTGGAAGCAGCATTGATCAAGTGCCTTTCCAACATGACTACTAGAAACTTAAGGGTCCAATTAACATCCTAGAAACTACGTTCCATACCCACATAATCACATAAACATGTTATCATATAAGCATATAACATTTTACTAAGTCTCTATCAAACGAGACGAACCCATTGTGATACTAATCACTTCCCACGTACCCAAAGTATTCAAACCCGGCACGCTCTGATACCAAGCTGTAACGCCCTCAAAATAAACCCATTATATATTTATCACTGACAAGCAATATTTAACGAAAACAATTCATTATCTCATTCATCAGAGTATTTCTAAATAAAAGCATTACATGTAACATCAAATTAAATGCCCTACGGGCTTACATCATTCCAAGCCAACACTTGGACACAAAAATATGAGTTCTAACTCAAATACAAGTAAAGCCCCAGGCTTGAATGTTAACATGTACTATCAAATCAAAACAACTAACTGAAGATAGTCTTCAAAATCCAAAAGTCAAATCCTTCCAAGCTAAGTCCTTGGAGGTAGCTTATCACCTGAACCTGAAAATGATGTTCCCATAAAGGGTGAGCCACAGCCCAGTAGAAAAATACTAAACCAAATATAAGCATTGAATAAAGCTATAGCATTCAATAGATGGTTAACCAAGATAATCAATTACATCATTATACAGTCTCATGACACTAATGTCTAAGACATATTTCACTTTCCATTATTATCAACATCGCTCAGAACCTGGCCAAACTCACAACAGCACAATCTGAGTCTCACCGTCCTCACTAATCGAAAGGTTAGCAAGTAGACCACTAAGCTCACTCCGTCCTCGCGGAACATACCCCGGTGGCAAAACACTACCAACACGGTCCCCCAAGAAATGGAACCACTCCCCGCTCAAGGTACATAACGTGACCCTCTGGCGGTAGCAATCAATAACTGCCCGGTATGACGATAACCAGTCCATACCCAAAATTACATCGAAGCCCCTCATAGGCATAACTACAAAGGAAAATGGGATTCTATGGTAATCAACCTCTATATCACAACCCCTAACACCGTGTTTCAAAATCAATTCACCCCCAAGAGGCGACACTACACAAATAGGAGATGCTAACTGTGCTAACTCCAACTCCAAAACAGATGCAAATGCAGCAGGAAAGGATTGAATTGGTGATTAAAAATTGGTTTTGTTTTTTCTCTTTTGGTGACTAAGTGATTAGTCGGGAAAGACAAGTAGTATTGTTAGTCAGTGTCACACCACTCATATTTAGCAATCAAAATGTTGTTTGGCAAAAGGTACATTTGGCTATTAAATAAATAGTCGGTAAAATTATTAATTTTGGCAACCAAAGTGTTTGGTCGTGAATAGGTTTATTGCCGACTAAAGTTTTAGTCACACAAATATTACTTTTGGTTACTAACATGTTTTGTGGTATGTGACTTTTGGTGACTAATATGTTTCGTTGAGGAATGTAACAATTGGCGACTAACATATTTCGTTGTGGAATGTGACAGTTGGTGACTAACATATTTAGTCGGGAAAATATCACTTTTGGCGACTAAACTGTTTTAGCTATAAAATGGTTTCGTCGCAGTAAATATATATTTAGCGATAAAAAATTTAGGCAGCAAATAGAACTTTTTTCCCGACTATTTTGTGAGGACGATATAATTATTGTTATTGGAGTTTATGTTTAATGAATTGAATTTTTATATTTTTTTAGTTGAGTGTTTTTATATATTTGGATGAAAATAGAATTTTGGCTAATTTTGCTGTTAAAGATATTTCATTGTATGCACTAAGTGTTACGATAAAAATCTTTTAGTAATTGCTAGCTCTTTGATAGCATTTCTTGAATACTATGATATCCTTTTTTCACAGCATTTGTCCATACTAGTTGATCAACTACTAGTTTGTAACAAATTGCTTCTATGATGCATTTTACAAACCTCTTGAATGCAAAAAAATATAACTTGCAACAAGAACTATGTCAACATAAAAAAAAGTGGATACTTGGATTTTATGAACAATTGATTGGCTTTCAATTGAGTTGGAATGACAAATGATTACATAATCAATTAAACAATCGATTATAAAACACTTTGTTTTTATAAATTGTCTTGTACAATTGATTGTAAAATCAATTCTTGCAAATGTGTTGTGTCTTGTATTCATAATCAATTCAATTGCAGTAGTCTATTTGGACCAAGACTCATGGCTTGTATACATAATTGATTGGCCTAAAAGAATTGGTCTATAGTGTTGGCATTCTTGCCATAGCCTAATGCAATCTCAACCAATTTTCAAAGAGATTAACTGACATCAAAACACAATCTGACACTTGATTGGTAAGAACATTAGATTAGCATAACATAAAATACATTATCAAACACAAAACAAGATTATCAAAACCCGTGTAGCCATTACAATACCCAAAAAAAGAAGTTTAAACTCATTTGATCCAATCATACATATTGTCAATACAATTCAATTGTTATATGGAAACCATTGCCAAGAATCACAACCCAATCCAAAAAGATAAAACTCGATCTACGAAGAGACACTGCTGGAAATGAGGGTTTTAGCGACGTTTCACAAAAACGCCATCAAAACCTTTTGTGACGTTTAGCACCAAACGTCGAAGATTCGGCCGTCGCTATAACTTTGCGACGCTTTAGAAACGTCGCTATATTACTATAGACGGTGTTTTCTAAAAACGCCGCTAAAAGTTATATTTAGCGACGTTTTTAAAATGCCATCTTATCTCTTTTCGCCAAAGAAAAATCCAACCATTTAGCGACGTTTTTAGAAACACCGTGATAGCCTTTTTAAAAAAAAAAAAAAAATTATGCTGATTTTATGTTATTGACCTAAAAAAATACCAATAATAAAACTAAAAAATAGCACTAATATGAAATAATAATTCCCATTCACATAGTAAAATCTTATCAAATGATAGTCCACAATCATTGTGCAAAAAAAAAAAAATATTCACACAAATCATTTGAACAACATTAAGGAGTCACCAAAATACGATGCCCCTCTATTTGAGCCAAAATAGGAATCTGGGCATTTAAGCCAACTTGATATTCATATTCTCATTCACAATAACCACATTCACATTCAAATCCTTTTCCTACCATATCAACCTAGTTCACCAAAATAGGATGCCCCTTTTTGCAGTGTCATGCGTCTCTGCAATTACATTGGGAATATGAGTTTTGTTGACTTGTAATCTAGCCTCTTCATCTTTGTCTCCAATGCACTTTTTCCATTTATTTGTCTCCAATGGACTTTTTCCATTTATGTCTGTTCCCTGAACGTAAAAACATGTATACAATTGGGGAGAGAGAGAGAGAGAGAAGTTGATATCAATAATCATAAACAATAGAAAACAATTATCCATAAACAGTTAATTCTCAACAAAAGACTAATTCTCAATAGGTAATTATAACAGTGAAATGGAAATATAAGCTACAGAGACTAATTTTCAACAAAAGAAAATTTCATAAAGAAAACAATCATCAATCCATATTGATATCAGTAATCATAAAGTTCAACATAAAACATATATCCATATATCCATACATCCATCACCCAATAGGACATTAAGCTAGCAAATTTGCAATAGCATATCTCATTCCAATTTTGCACCCACTTAATTCCAAGTACGTCAAATTCAAGACTCAAATCTGCATATATATATATATATATATATCAGCCATTTCTAATAATGCTTCCTTTCCTGATACTATTGCTATGCACAGTACTATTGTCTATCCACCAAACAATTCACCATCTCCCTCACAAGGCAGTAACAAAAGTGCTGCAATGCCCAAGTCTAACGATTTTTTTAATTGAGAGATAGATTTAAGAGATATTAAATGATAGCCGAAGAGATATCTATGAAATTAACCCAAAATATTATGTTCTAATAGAGTGATTTGATGATAGAGAGAGAGTAAGGTGTATTTCCAAACAGGCTAGTCAAAAGGAAGAAGAAGACAAATAAAAAGAGTCCTTTATGTGTATTTAAAAAGCAATCAAATTTAGATTTCAGATTAACATAATACAAATGAAGTAGTACAAACCAATTAGGGGATACTAGAGCCAAAGTTCTACTAGTTGTGACAGATTTGCGCAGATAAGGTTTTCCTATGCAAGGCTTAGGCTCATATAGTATAGTAGTAAGAAAGGCTTGGCATTATAAAGGTGAACATAAACTTTTGACATGCACATATACTTTTTAAATTAGCATTGAAGATAACATCTCATAATCTTTTAAAAATTAAACACCTATTTTAACAAGATTTTAGCTTCCAAAAAGTAAATTTTATTTCTTCTCTCCCACACACCTGTAGAGGGATTTTGGTAAAGGAAGAAAGAGAAGAAAAGAGAACGACAGTACCCATGAAACCAAAACATAGGTATACACATAGAACTCATTGTGGTAGCATATACAAATAAACTTACTATGAAGCATACATTTTGGCAGCTCGGTGAACCCATTTCAATCACTTATTACAATGATTTGGAGGATTAGCAGAAACCAAGATTTTGTACCTGAAGTTTGCCAAGGTGCCATGCTCCAGAAATGCACACCACCTCAAGCGTTTTGTCATGCATGGACTGAAGATTGAAATCATCATCATTCTTATAATCATTTTGCCAAAGATCAACTCCACCCATATAGCTGCCTATGTTGAGCACAATTAAACCCTTAGCATCTTGGAGGAAAAGTTAAAAGGAAAAAATTTAAAATAGTCCAATTGAAAAGGAAACCAAAACAGTAGAAATTAAAAAGTATCCTTCACATCCCTCAGCAAGTGCTCAACCGGAAACCAGAACAGTAAAGAAAGAATACCTCTGTTGCAAGGGTGCTAATGGTTGTATCATTCACATCCCTCAGCAAGTGCTCAACCCGGTTGAATAAAGAAGATAGTAGAAATTAAAGTTGAAGCTGATACAAAAACAAGATAATATGCACATATATCATATATGTGAAATTGTTAGAGGCACTAAGTAAGTTGGCAACTTGGCATCTTCTTTAAAATCAACAAAGAACGGGAGAAGACGCTGAGAAAAAAGAAAAAGAAGATGCAGGAGAGAGAGAGAGAGAGAGAGAGAGAGAGAGAGAGATGTAGCATCTATTTCAGGTTTCTATCCTAAGTGGCATACCAATTTCCTTAATTTCATGAGCGTCAATTTCTGAAAGCACATGCACAAATACCTTCTGGCTTTTCTGAGTAGCATTCTGCAAACATATCCAATTGTCTTCATAAATGTACATTTGTATAGAAATCATGACTTATAATGAACTATTAGCTTTGAAACTTCAAAAAAATTCATAAAATACACAGCCCAGTGCAATCATTACTACATATTATGAGGAAGAACACTATCAATTGATTAGAGAACATAGTTGCCAGAAAATGGATATAAGAGCATGCCTGGAGATTCAGTATGAGTTGGCGAAAATTGCAACTTCCTCTGCTGGATTGCCCGTCATCAAGCATGTCTTACTTCTGCCTTCGGGCTGTTCAAAAGGGAAACACCGGATCGTTGCCCCTGTTTCTTCTTTCACCCTCAACTCATCTTTGTCACTGTGCCACCAAATGTTAGTGATCTTAGAAATACACAATTGCATTATGATAAACATAAACATTAACCCTAAAAACCAAACCAAACTAAGCTTTGTGCTCATGTGAGGTCACATTGAATTCATTTTTGTCATTCTGCTCTGTCACCATATTGGTATTTCATGTTCATAAGGATCTGACAGATTTTTACATGTTGTCTGTGTAAAAGATTAAACACTAAGCACACCAACCCTATAAACCCCATATATACATGGTCAAAAAAATAAGAGGCATATAAACAAACAATTACCTAGCAGACCAGGGACCCCTTGCCCATTTCCCCCGACTAATTGCATCTTTCAACTCATTATATGAGTTCACATCCACAATGTTACTGCAGAGGAATTATAAATGTGTTAAGGCTATTATCCGACCAATATACCAAAAACCAACAGATACAAAGCAAGGAAAACGAACTGTCCAACACAGCACAAAGGCAAGGATTTGGTGAACAAATTCAAAGGACTGAAACATGGGAAGCAAGAATACAAACTGTCCAATGCAGAGAAGAGAGGCAAGCAGTCAATGTACCACGCTTAAGGAAACACAATTTTGACTTCAAAACTCCATATGTGCTGACTACATAGATCCATTATGTAATCAAGCAAGTATATGATCCAATCTAACTAGATCTAAAGCTAGCAATAACTTCAAGTTTACAAGTAAGCATAAAGATTCTAACATAACACTTGAGGTATTTAAAATCTGTTAAAGCAGGAAAAGGAAAAAAGAAAAAAGATAAATGGACATTATGTGAAAACAACAAACAGAGAAATATAAAAATTATGACTTAAAAGGAGAAGAAAGACGAAGCCACCTTATTGGTAGACATAAAGTATTAGAATACCTTGCTGAAGTACCGGTGAAGCAGGATCTCCTTTAGCAAACCAGACATGCCATAAAAATATAATAAACTTGACATCACCTAGAGATTAGATGTAAAATGGATTTAGTACTAGAAACCTTCACCTGGATTTTTTTACAGCAATAGACTTCCCTAATAGTGGAAAAATGTTTGGGTAAAGCATGCTTCCACTCCACACATTTTTACATGAAGATTGGGTTTTTATGTATTGTATTTGGTGCGACGTATGATTTGCTTGTTATTGAAAGTTATAGTCAATAAAAATCCTGGAAATGAGCCCATGATGAGCAAGACTCTAAACCATTTACAGCTAAGAAGGGAACACTGCCAAGATCAACCCCACCCTAGTTGAAACCCAAAGGCCCTCAACACAACCATAACAATGATGCAAATTGCAATAGGCCATTTTTAAAAATATTATTTATATGTAGGAAAAAGAAAAATTGGTAAGAGGGTAACAGGGGAAAGGGATGTAGTTCTAACAAAACGACTCGAACCGGACATCACACTTGATATAATTAAAAAAAAAAAAACACCTTATCCATTAGACGAACAATTATAGATCATTTATAATTACCATTTGCTTACAGGTTCTTTCATGCCAATTTGTATCTATGCTCTAGAAATATTTTCTCCAAATTCTTCCCTAGGGTGCAGCCTAACTTCCTCTCATAGATGTTTAAAATAAAAATTAAAATAAAAAACTAATTTATGAAAATTCAAATTTAATCTTGTCCAAAACAATCATCTTTTCCCCAAATTAAGATAAAAATCCAGTCCAACTGATGGTGAGAGAACCTAGTAGGCAATAGGATTGCCACCACTGTAAATGGACAAATATGAACAGGGATATTAGAATAGGGAGGGGAGGGGGCTAAAATCACATTCCATTATGATGTGAGGGCCTACATGTATGGGGGCTATACTGTCATTGGAATTATAGATTGAGCATTTAAACTTCTTCCTCCAATTTTTTTTTTTAATTTTTAATTTTTATTTTTAAATTGTTGGTGGGGCAAATGGGATGTTGAGGGAGTTACCTTAGCTCGGTGGCCTAATGTTTCACAAAAAAAAAAATATATTAAAAATTCTTATTGTCCAAAGTCCCAATTGTTCAAAAACTAGAAAGATAAGCTCAAATTTTGTTTTTTTAGATAAAGTCTCAAAAAATCATGGGCTGCTAGCCTGCTACCATCTGTAACTTCCTATTGTAATTTCAAAATTAACCAAATTTGTTATGCAAATGGAGAAGGTGAAATCACATTAGCAGTTACATAAGCAAATAATCAACATGAAACAATCTCTAGGGGAAGTGATATGGAAGGGGCTAGTTTGGAGCTTTGGTATATAATCTATATTTTCATTTTCTTTCTCTTTCTTCCGAATTGATTTCCTACAGAAGACAAAACCCAAAAGTTGTGACTTATTAGTGAGACATAGGTTGAAAAGAAAAGAATAAAAGTCTCCTATTTTAGATGATCCACATTCCCCAAAACACAATTATAGTACATTGAAAATGCTGTCAAGTAAAGAGCAAACATATATTTGATTCTAACACTAGCAATAACAAAATCAAGAAACAGGACTTGATCTGTTTTGCTTATTATTCATCCTTGTCAGAGGCATAATAAAGTAAACATAATATTTATTCTAAAAGGAGATTAAACAACAAACCATTTCTTGATTTCAATCTTTTAATCCATAAAAAGTAATGACACTTAACAGGAAGAGCATGGGATCTAATATAAAAAATTATATTGACAAATAAACTAATTAAATAATGATTGCAACTGCTAATCAATGAAAAGTTTAATTGATTAATAAAGTAACAGTCATGCTGTGTTAAAAGAAAAATGAATATATATATATATATATAAGAAAATGAAAGATATCCCTAAAGTCTCTAGATGATTGAGAGCATTTACCAATGACGATAAGTGCTCAGAAGAAACGACAAAAGTTGATGAAAATAGATAAAACTCTGCTGCCACATTCAGATTACAAATAACAAAAAAATAATTCAAAAACATTAACATTAACATACACTACTAATCAAAAACATAAATAATAAAAAAAAATCCTAAATAATTATAGATCTAAACAAAAACTTACAGAGAGAGATCTGAACGAAAACTTACAGATCTGAACGAAAGCAATCAATCGATCAAATTCAGAGGGAGAGAGTGTGTTCAATATCGATCAATAGACTAAAAATCAATCGATCGATCGATCGGTCTGTATTCTCTTTAACATAAATTAGTGTGTATATATATATATATATCACATAGATCAAAGATCGTAGATACAGATATGTGTTCGTATATAAACAAAATCAAAAAAATCAGAGAATGAGACTCACAAAATTAATCTTCAAATCGGACTGATCGAGAGCTTTGAGCCAAGATGGAGAGAGGTGGATAGAGAGATCGTAAATCAGAGCCTACGATGCTCGATCTAGTTTCACCATAAGAAAGAGGAGTGATGAAGAGATAGAACCCTAGATCTATCTTGGGACTCTGAGAAATGAACAAAATGAAAAAAGCGTGGGCCTTAAAAAAGGGGATATATGTTAGTAAGTAGGACGCGTGTTTTTTAAAATGAGTTATCTGCAAAGTATTTTAAAAATCTTTGAAACGGCGTTTTTCAAAAAACGCCGTAACAAAAACGTGGTTATAGGCCAATTTTCTTGTAGTGAGATGGCACTTGTGCATATTTACATGTGTGCAAATCTAAGAAATGGCATGCAGTTCTATGTATTTAATGCCCAATTTGATGTTGGCGAGCCTCTTCTAGTGCTCCTTCAACAAGCTCTTTGATTCATACTCTTTATCTTCTTGCATACCATTTCTCTTCAACCTGCTTTCACAAAACATATAATGACCAAATATTGTTTTGATCACTCGTCTTTTGAAAATCTAGTTCGAAGACATGCATTTAATAAGGAAAAAAAAATAACAAAAGAAAGGTCTAGTCACTCATCACTATTACTCCTTTTTTTTACTAAATAAAATTGCCAGGAAAAAAATTCAAATAAGAAAAAGCAAACCAAAGAAGAAATGAAATAAGATTCAATGAATAAAATTCAACAAATGCTTCTCCAAATTAAACTCAGGAGTCAAAACTCCATTTTACATCACTTGTGAGTCAAGATTTCACACTTGAACTTAAAAAAAAAGCTATTTTTTATTTGTTTCTTGGGTGATGGAGCCAAGGTTGATATACTAATTTGTATGCAAACAATTACACAAAAGCTAAATTTGTTCAATAAGAATTGAGAATATGTAAATTTCATACGAAAGGAAATTACAACAATAGTTAAAATTTCAAGTTGACCGGGTTCCTTACCCCCAACTCTCCCATACTTCCAATCCATTTTGTCCATGTATACAAGAGACTAATCAATAATAAGTAACACAATTGGTGGATGGAATATTTTAGTGTATATAGTAGACTAACCAATTAGCTAGCTTCCGATACACATGTTTGACAAATTAATAATAAAAAATATTGCTAAATGTTAAAGTTGGGATGCAAAATACAATTTTCTATGTGGAATCAATTTAAAATTAAAGTAATAAACTTTAAGCATTTGGGAAGAAATAAAACCAATAAATGTTATTTTTCTTAGCAATACCTATTAAATTAAATTGATGAGGTCCAGTAATGCTCTATAGCAACAAAAATCAATGTGGTTGTTGTGTACCTAATGGGTGATGATACATAGTTGTGTTTCTTATGAAACATACAATTGCAGAGAGAAGCTAATCGAAAAAAAGCATTCAAACCTCATATCCATAAAGATAACCCAAAGCATCATGATTCATGAACTTTCAAAGGGTATTACCTAGATTTTCACATGTTACTTAATCAGTAGCAACAGTTTAATAACATCAAAGACAATTCTACATTATTCGTTCACATTGCAACTACTATAAAATTCATCAAAGCCCCATAAAAAAAAAAGAAAAAAGAAAAAAAAGAAAAAACAACAGGAGAATCTACTAGTGTGTTACACGAAAAAAATAAATAATAATAAATAATAAATAAATAAGGGCAAAATACAAAGCCCACAAAGCCGTAGTTAAACTCTTGCTCCAATGTCAAAAGTGGCAAACCCCAAGCAAATCAAATTGACAACCAAAATAGGAAAAGCTATAAAAAACAACAAATCTAATGGAATTCCTATGGTGACTTAGAAGAATTTGAGTGGTGTAAAAGTAGTTAGGTTGACTGATTTGTTCAACAAAATATTACAAACTAAGAAGATGGTTGATGATTGAAAGAAAAATGCTCTCGGTACATGTATATAAGAAAAAATGTGATATGATATACCTTGATGCCAATGCATCCATTCACATCGAGGGTTGTAAGTGTGTTTGAGCAGAACCTTGACAGGGCCTCCAAGCACTTATCAGTAACACCAATAATACCAAACAAGCTGCAGTTTTTCCATCCATGAAATCAGTAACAGATGTTATATCAAGAGGAAACTTTTTAATAGCTAGAAGATGACTGCACGACCATACGATTTCACCATAACAGTATGGAATGGCCAATGCTTATCAATCTTGCTAGTACTCTGTATTTGATACTAGATGTGCATGTTGCACTAAAATTGTTTCAGCAAGGTTGCAATAATATTCAATCAATAAATATCAATCTTGCTAGTACTCTGTATTTGATACTAGATGTGCATGTTGCACTAAAATTGTTTCAGCAATTGTTTCAGCAAATTCAATCAATAAAAAATTTGAACAATATGACAATGACCATCGTGTCATAGCTCAACTCAACTCAACTCGACAAGGCTTTATCCCAAATCCCAATTACATTAGTGTAAGCTACATGGATCCATTTCCTTGAATTGATTATGATAAATACAGCTGCTTAAATTACAGATTTCATTTTAAGTTCATTCCAAATTATAGTTCAGCTTTCATATTTTCTGCATGCCATGTTCCAATAACTTAGGTATGGATGTCAGAGGTGTGTATGTGCCTAAAATCGGATTTATCTATTTCCAAATTTAAGAAATGAGGGACACAGCTAAATGTGATATTACTTAATGCTCTTTTGTTTTTGTTTCTAATGCTAAAATGGTGTTTTTATGTAACATAGATCATCAACCACCGATACTATACCCAATTTGAAGCAACAATATCCAATTCACATAATAAGGGAGTTTTGACTTCATGGCATAATCGCATGGTATGCTCTTAAAAGCTTCTAAAGGCACAAACCAGACATAAAATGCATCAATTTTTCACATTCAATAATATTAGTCTCATCAAGATTTAACCCCAAGGGGCCGAGTGGTAAAGACAGAAGAATAAGATCCAAGGTCTCAAGTTTGAGTCTCCCAAGGGGCCACTAGAGGTTTGTGGTTGTTAACTTCAAGCCATATGCTTTCAATGTTCAATGCATACAAAATACGATTTTAAAATGGAATCCAAAAGGCTTTGACTAAAAATTAAAATAAAACATTTCTACAACTTACACTAGAATGTTGAATTGGAGCACAAATTCCCATTAGTCCACATCCAAGATGCTCTATACCATCTTCAAATAATTGGACTATGTTATAAGTCAATTTTTACCTTGTTCTTTCAATAATCAAACAATAACAACATGTTTTCTGTAAGAAAAAAGCACAAAATCTGCAATAGCACAAATGAATAGAACATGCAAGTGATGCAGACATATTTTCCAAAACCATAATTAATTTTTTTTTTCTTGCCATACCCATTGAAAGGTTTTAATTTGCAATTGCAATCACTGCCAAACTTCCAAAGCATGGGTAAGTTCTGTCAATGGCCTATTGGCATAATTGATGAGTCATAGGTACTAACATTTCAATAAGAATAGTTGAAAACAAAAGGAATAACAAATGGCATACTACCATAAAAGTTGCTATTTAACTTAGAAGTCAAGAGAGAATGTCAAATAATGTTTCCCTGAAGAGTAGGTAACACAAAACAATTTACTAAGGGCTATTAGTTTTGGGTCCTCCAGATACCACTCCTCATTTCCCCATTATGCTACCTAATTAGACGCTATAGATTCACCGTAAATCTAAAATTGGTAAAAAAAAAATTAATACAAGAGATATAATTACTAATTTATTAAATATATGATTTCAAGGTCTAAAGATCGATACAAACAATCAAGAAAACTAATGGGTATAAGGGTAGATTATATGTATGCATATATACATACATATATGCATATGATATGCTATCTCTATGTGTGTGTATATATATAAACAACGTCCAAATAGTACACATTAATATGTGTTGGGGAGGAAAAAGATTGGGTACACACCTAACCTTTGACATAGTACACAGAGTGGCTGCCTCGAGACTTAAACACATAACTTCAAGGTTATTAGGCTAAGATTTTTACCATTGAACCAATGGTCACCCCTGTGTGTATGCGCACACATATATATATATATATATATATGTATATGTATATCTTAAATATACAAATATGAGAAAGTAACATTTCTCATAAGAAAGTAAGTTTCCAGTAAACCAAAAAATGGGTAAACAAGAAGTATTATCGTTGAATCTGTAAACAATGTTCAAGATTATCATTATCAAAGGGTTCAATAAAACCACAATACACATACACACAACAAAATGATTTTCTAGATAATAATTTTTGAAGAATTCATCAAGAAAATTGGTTGCACCTGTCTTCAAATAGCCTAAGTTGAAAGAAAATAATTCTCAAAAAAAAATATTTATATTTTTTGGAAAATTTTGATAAAACTCTAATTTGAACAAGAGTGTTAAGATGAGTTGGGTTTTCCCATATCACACTAATCTTGCACATAGCTTTCAAATCCAAAATTTCATATCAGGAAGTACCAAACAATCCAAGAAGGCTCTTTTGATTCTAACATATTAATCAGAAACTCAAACAAGGTCTACAATTTCTTACATACCTATTGGTTTTCATAAAAAAATCATATGATCAAAACAAGACCCAGATAACTTATTTTATCAAACAACACCATTCAAGCTCGATCCACAGATCATCTTAAGATAAGTAAAAACACCAATTAGATTATATTATTTTATTATAAATTTTCTTTTACACATTATTATGTTAAAATTAGTGTTTGTTTTATATGTCTAGATTTTTTATTTTACTTGTGTCTAATAAAAATTTGGATCTGCCAAACTTTAAAAATAAAAAAATAAAACAAGCTTGAGCTGGGTCACCTGTGTGTTTAAAAACAGAGAAAATTTATTTTATATAAAAATTTACATTGTAAAAAAAACTTGTTTAGATTTTTCTCCTTTGGTGCACTTTTAGATTTTCCCAAAAAAGCTTGAGCTGGGTCGCCTGTGTGTTTAATCAGCATGTAGATGTATAATGCTATAGCAAAGAGAAAGCAATTAAACAAATGCCAATATGATTGAGAACCGATGTTAATTTTGAATGTGAACAAAACTTAATATCATCAGCTATTCACTTTTTAGGGTTAGGGTTTTGAAATCAAAGCCCTATCTTGGGTGGTTATAGATGTTAATTTTGACTGAGAACAAACCTTAATATTAGATATTCAATAAGGGTTAGGGTTTTGAAATCAAAGCCCCAATGGCACAGCTATCTTGGGTGGCTGTAAATAGGAACATACCTGACCTACAGAAGAGAGCTCTCGTAAATATTCAATTCGACTAGAAGGGAAAATATTTGCTGACAAACCCATGGTGGAGACGTGAACAGCGTGATGGCTTGTGAAGAAGATGTCGACAATGGTGGCGTGGATCGCCGACAGGGCTGGTGGTCTTTCGCCATGGCGGAAGCTTCGGCTATGGTGGAAGAGAAAAGAAAGGTGAAGAGCAAGAGAGAGAGGGAGGCCAATCGTTCTTCTCTCGCTATGGTGGAAGAGAAAAGAAAGGTGAAGAGCAAGCGAGAGAGGCTATGGTGGAAGAGAAGAGAAAGGTGAAGAACGGTGGCCCCGACGCTTGACCGTTGGACTTCGACAATCTCTGCAGCTTCGACTATGGTGGAAGAGAGGAGGGAGGAGAAGAGAAGAGCAAGAGCACGAACGAGAGCAAGAGAGGGAGGCAACTGATTTAATTTGCTCTGTTTGGCAACCGGTTAGACCGGTTGCCAATTCAAAATTAAATTATTAAAATAATTTAGTTATATGATAGTTATGAGATAATATGGTATATATAAATAACTAAATATAACTAAGTTATGAGTTAATATGAGAATAGTTATGATTTATATGATATTAGTTATGATATCAAATCACATAATCTCATAACTTAAAGGATGTGGTTCTGTTGCAGCAGGATGTAAGCTCTCTGTCACTCGAAGTCTCATGTTCAAGTTTCCCAGTCCAAGTGGCCATCCATTAGGCATTTCACGGTCCTGATGAAAAATTATTAGCACATAGCATCAAACTCGGATCAACCCCTAAAAATAAAAGAGTCAAACATTACAATCTTTTGATTAAATAGACACTGAACAAAATAGACACCGAACAAAAGCAAGCTCTCCACGATTCTCGTGAGGATTTTCTTTCTTGTTCTTTTTCTTTCGTCCTCTTTTAAGTTATGATCTTTCCATGAGATTCCTAGAGGTGGGGTGTTTCTTCACTTTGGATAGGATAGTTTTGGTAAAAATTTGGACATCTATATTTTAAAGATTTGCCTGCATTAATAAATTAAATGTACAACCCCCCCGGGTTTCTTTTTTCCCGGTTTTTTTTTTTTTTTTTTTTAAATTTTTTGGGTTTTTTTTTTTTTTTTTCCCCCCCCCCCCCGCGGGGGTTATAAATCGATTGTGTAAATGTGTGTTTTGATTTTTGCCCTAAAAAAGCAGAAATTTTTGATATAGATTCTGTTGAACTTGTATGTGATGGTGTTATTCTTTCTTGCTGTTGCGAAAGTTTGATCTCTCGGGATACATCTGTTAATGATCAATCCTTTCATTCAAGAGCTTCTATGATATATATACATGCGTGAATATATATATATATATATATATATCCTATTTATACCATAGGTAGTGTTTGTAGTAATAATATGAGAAATGTTATTATACAAATAAAAATATCTTACAAATAAGTGAAATATTATTAGATTTCATGTTTTCAAAATGATGTCTCCAATGCAGATAAGTTTGTAAATGAAATTTGCATGAATTTTAACAAAGTCACAATAAATTATAACATGACATACTCAAAATGTGTGATACCACTATCTCTTTATGTCCGTGTATATTCTGTAACTTTCTGTGGTTGAATTTTGAAGTATAAAAGGAGCTGGTCCTGGAGTGAGAGAGGGAGAACAATTAAAATAAAACAACTTTGAACAGAACAGAGTAGAGTAGAGAGCACTGGGCTGGGGTGGAGGCCACACTGCACAACAACACTCACGCATCAAATTCAAGTTTTGCTGTGATTCCAAAGATAGGCAACGCCCGATATCATCAATGTTTTTATTGACTGTGATGAGAGCAATTAATTACATTTTCATTGCATTCTCTTAGCAGAGTGACATCATTAGTGATGTCTTATTGATACAAGGTACCTGATTGATTTATATTTACAAAGCCAACTCAATACGTGTAAGATTGAGGATGTAATCAGTTCAGTATTTAAATAAAAAATTATACTAAATTGATAATATCGATTTTATTATTTTGAACAGTGATATAGATCGTTTCTCTCATCAAATTACATTGAACTGATTGAAACAGTTCAATTTGATACAGTTTAATCGATTTAGGATCTTTGGAATTTGAGCCACCACTTTTAAATATAATCACTAATCTATATAAAAATATTAAATTAGTTATTTATCTACCATTTCAAACATATCCAATCCATTCATTTGATAATTACTTTTCAATTCCTAAATTAACAAAAATAAAAACAAAACAAAAACTTTAAAAATACTAAAATTTCAAGAATTAGTTAGAATTAAAATTATATATAATAAGAATTTACAAATGTATGTTATAAAGATGATAAAATTAATTAATTAAGATTAATAATTTATTACACTTATGAATATCATTATATTATTAGATTATATATATATATATATTATAAATACAATATATGTTAAAATGATCAACAAATCAATCTAGTTCGGTATACAAAATGCTTGAACCAATACCTAACCAAGAACAGAAAAAATCAAATTTAAAAACGCACAATTTTTGTTAAAAAAACAAATCAAATATAACTAATTTGATTCGATTCAATCAGTTTGATTGATTTTTCTTACATCCCTAATTAAGATTCCCGTCAAAAAAAAAAAAAATACTCCATTAAGATTGTGTTTGAGAGTCGTGAATTTAAGTTAAAATTTTAAAAAGTTTAAAATTAGATTTATATTTGATTCATATTTTTCTTTATTTTTTAAATTACTATCCAAATCATAATCCGATAGGGTAATTTATATGAAAATTGGGCCGAGCTGGGTAATGGGCCGTTATGGGCCACAGTACAAAGGGCTGAATAAAAAAAGCCATAAAGTTACTCCGGTCCAAAAGAGGCTTAAAGTTACTCCGGTCCCAAAGGGCTTACGGTAAGCTCAGTCGTCACACATGAAGTTATCCCGGTCGGGACCACGGTGTTGGTTATCCCAGTCGAGACATACCATGGTTAGCACCAGGAGAAACCGGGTAAGAGCAGTGAATGGAAAAGCTAAGCTAAGGTTAGCTCGGTCTAGTCTGCGGCTTAGCATAACCATGCTTACCTCGGTCATATTGGAGTCCGACCGTGGTAAAACCATCTCACTTGGTTTAAGTAGTGAGGAGGGTGTTGAAGGATAAACATTATCTTTCAGGAGTATGACTCCTAGGAGGACTCTACATAGAGGAGTAAGAGTCCTATTAGGATTATGCCACGCAGAACCTATAAAAGCTCACAACAT